CCCCCTCCCCTCCGCCAAATGGCGGGGTGCTGCCTCCCCCACCCCCAAAATGCTGGGCATGCCCTGCCTGTGGGAGACTGCTTGTTGCCTGAGTGGAGCCCGGGGGTGGCTTCCCTGGCAGGTTATACGCTATGTACCCCTGCAGCCCCCTCGTAACGCTGCCGCTGGCAGGAGTTTTTCTGGCAACGATGAAACCCGCGCGCTGGTGCCAGGTTATGATGTTTGGAGCGGCCGGAGGAAGCGCTGCCAGCGACTGTAAATTCAGACCTTCAGAATGAAGGTTTTAGTAGCTTCAAGCAATCTGGGCGTTCTGACCAGATATGAAGTAAAACAACTGAAAAACCCATGTTCCAAGGCATGACTATTCGTTTTTGGTTCCTGTTTAAAATGTCAGTTCAGAGTTCTTAAAACAAAACAAAACAAAAAAAACAGAAATTTTTTTTCCCCCCTTAGGGTGGCTGTAAAAAAGTTGACATGTTAAGTTTGGTGGTTATTTTGAATCAGTGTATTGACATGAAATATTTCAGTTTAAAAAGAAAGTGGCATTTTTTGAGTTGAAAACTTAATTTCTGTGTTTTTGAAGGGAAAATTGAAGATTTTATTCAAAGCTGATGTTTTGCTACTGGAGAGGGGAAAAATAGGTTTTAAGAAGCCCATCTTTTTCTAAAGGGGAAAATATTTGGCCCGAGAAGTATGTATTTCCAGGGCTAATTGTTGCCCACGTTTACAAAACGTGAATCCACAGTGCTTTGGGATGGATTATGGAATCATTCTGAGGTTGTTGCTGGCAGACTTGTTGTTTTTTTTAATAAGTGAACCTCAGACCCAACTCCTTGTTACTTGAGTTATTGCAGTTAACTTGTTAGCGTCTTAAATAGTTATTTTAACCTATATCTTGACTGAATTTCTTAAACTTCCCTCCCTGAATGGGCATCTGTTGGTCCTAGTGTTCATATTTAGACATGTGAGTATGGGTCTGGATTTCTAACATGAGGAAACAAAGTTTGAAGGGAGGAAGGGAGGGGAACTTTCTTTGGAAATCTACTGACAGATAATATAGCTTATTTCTCAGAGATACTATTTTTATTATAGCCATTTAAATTAGCCACGTTAGCTAACCCCCAAGGTTTTGCTTATTTGTTCTGTAAATCTTAGTTTTTCTTTCTCCAGACAGGCAGCTGTATTATGGAATCCTTAAATCTCGTGGTTGCAGCTGTTTCTGCTAACAGGTGCAAGAAAACAATTGGGAATGCATGCAGAGTTTTGCTTTAGTTAACAGGCAGTTCAATCCTTCCGTCATTTTTCACCTCTTTGGAGATTTGCCAGCCCTTTTCACAGTAGAGGCCCCTTGCCAGGGTTCAGAGCACACCACCCCAACATTCACTAAATGGAGCACACAGGGCTTTCTCCTTTGCAGTGTGTAAATCAGCTTAAGCAATGGATATTATAACTTCAATATTTACTGTTAATTTCAGTTAGAATTGAGTGCTATATGATAAGAAGGTACCCTGGAGGAAGAGGCTATTGTTATCAAATGCAAAAGGTGAGGGAGTGCTTTTTTTTTTTTTTCTCTCCTTGTCCTTTGCGTTTGATCATGAAATGCCCTTCTTCCGTGTGACTGTGACATTTGGATTACTTTCTTGCATTGCATAGTTACTGGGTAATAACAGCTCCAGGAAGGGGTTAAAAACAAATGGTGGCACAAGCAAATACTAAAAAAAGTAAGTATGGCACATAATGATTATTTAGCAATAGCTACTGTGTAACATTTAACTAGGAAACCTGAGCTGACACTAACAATCTCCCTGGCAGTGTAGCCTGCTCACCATTTAGTAGTTGAGTAATCTGTGAACTACTGTGAGAATTTCATATGTGGTTCAATATGTTCTAATGGAAATATAGATGACAATAGTCTCTCAGCTTTAGTGTTTATAATGTGAACAGCTATCATAGAGTAACTGCTAATGTTCAGAATTGATCAGTCAGTTATCTTCCAGATGCAGAAGGCTATCTGGAAAATCACTGGATTTTTGAAAAGTAAAATAATTGGGAAGAGTTTTTACTTGCCTTCTTGTTTCTGACCCTGCAGATTACACTTGAAAAATGCCTTCAATATTTATTCTCTGCATGTGAGGGCTGTGAATTGCTTAGTGGGGGAGGAAACAGAGTTCTTGATCAGACTGACCCTCCAATTGTCAAAAGCACTTTTATTTTGAATCAGAGTACTGAGAATTGTGTTGTGTTCTGTTCTGCCTCATCCTCTCTGACAGTTTTGCTTCTTTTAGATTGTTTGCTCATGCTGGTGTACAAGGATAAATCTGAACGAGCAAAAGGGCATAAGGAGAGGAGCAGCGTGACCTTAGAAGACATCTGTGGCTTGGATCCTGGGCTCCCCTATGAGGGCTTGAATCACACGCTTGCAATCATCTGTCTCTCTCAAGTTGTGATGCTGGGATTTGAGAACAAGGAAACAATGTATGCGTGGGATGTACGAATCCGCTACAGTTTGGGGGAAGGTAACCTTTGTCTTGTCATATTCATTTTTTTTTTTGCTTTGAGAAGAAAGCAAAGAAAAGCAGAGCTAAAATGCAAATAATAAAGTACAGTTAAGGAAAAAACTGTCACTCATTTGATGGTGAAGAGTCTGTTCTTTCCTTTGCATCTTAAAGCAGCTGTCTCTTAAGATACGTTTTGAGTATATTACTGCTCAGTACTGGCTGCTAACTGTGAGAGCTTTCAACTTACTTTTTGATTGGGCCACTGAAAGCTTTTAGTGATCCAAGTTCCACTTTTGTCCCTGCAGTTTATTTGGGTTTTTGATGACAGGATTCAGGGTAAGCCTGATTTAAGAGAAGTCGAGTCCTAAATAGAACTCGACTAGTTAAATCCCGGTTTAAGGAACAGCCTACTAGCCTGGAAGGTATTATCTTCGGTAAAATATTTCACTGCTAGTGCTTTCTTTCAGGGTGGGACTTCTCGTAACAAGGAGTGTCATCAGACAGTTTTCCCACCTAATTTCACTCTTATGCACTCCCCCCCACCCCCATCAGCAGTTCTAAAATATACAGTGGTGAATGAGGAATGGCAAACTGGCAATCCAGAGTAACTAGCCTTTAAGTTTATTTAGTGATGATTGGGGAAAGAGGATGGATGTGTGGAGGTTGCACATTTGCTGTCTTAAACAATCACTAGCTACAACATATTGCAAAGGATATATAACAGTGGAATTGTTCCACTGCAATGTGAGCACAGAAAGGTGGTCTTGGAGTTTTACGCAAGTGTGATATAGCTGCTGAGCTCGTATCTGTGAGCAGTATCAGAATAGAGACATATGGATATACCACTCGGAGCTATCAAATACAAACTGTTGCACAAGGGGAAGGGCTAGAGTGGGTCCCTGAACAACACAGGCACCTATATCTGGAGTAGGTGGCGCGCTTTGAAAATGTAGCTATATTGTGTTCCAGTTCTATTAGTTTGCTAAATTTGGGATCTCTGTACAGCATAAACTTGTACTAAAAGAGCTGGAGGAGAGTGCGCAGTTGATAGAGCAGGTCTGGTTTTTGTGATCTTGCACTGGTGCAGGCCTGGCATGGAAGGAGTATTTGATCTAAATGTGGATGTGAAGGTGGTGGGGGTGATAGTGATGGAGGAGCAGAGGGAAAGGAGGACGGGAGTGGTAGTAGCCTTGAATGAGGTAAGGATAGAATTTGGTTTATGGGATGAAGCTGTAGTTCCAGATGCAGCACTGGAGTAGAGACAGAGGATGAGAGTGTGTGTGTGTGTGTGGGTGAAGAAATGAGCTAGTCGGGGCACAGATATAATTGGTTGAATTGGCAATAATTTTCGGAACACGTCAGTTGCGGAAAAGCTCAGAAGAAGGACGATAGACCAGAGCATAGAAAACTTGGTCAGGATTTTATCTTTCACTGCAGACTCAGTTGAGTGTAGAAGCCAAATTGAAGGGAATTTAGCTATAATAGGCAGAGTGGAGGCTTTTATAGGGAGAGAGGCTGGTTGACTATTGGGTCTTTTTTTCTTAAAGACTAACAAAGGTGTGTTCTTTGCCCTGGGACTATGGCGATTGGGTGCTGAAAATAGACTGTGGACAGATGACCGCAGAATCTGAGAAGTAAAATTAAAAAGATATTGGGAAAAGAGGGGCTAGACAGGGAAGAGGAAGGTTTTACTGAATTTTAACACTGAAAGTCTGGCCAGGTGGGGAAGGAGAGATGAAGAAGACAGTGCCATATGTGCCAGTGAATTGGGGGTTATGAACCTGGAATGCTAAGGTGGAGAGGAGTTGATGCTGTTCTTGAGTGAGGATCGCAGAAGTGAGCAAGGTACAGGTCAGGTGTGAAAAAGAGTGCTTGAGCCCACAGCTGATACTGAGGAAGTTGGGAGAGAGGTCAGTGAATAGCTTTGAAGAGGAAAAGACTAGCTAGAGGAAGTGAGGAGCTTAGTACCTTTTCTTCATAGGTACATTCAGCTAAGCAGCTGTGGTTTTTTTTTTCTTTTTTTTTTTTTCTTTTTTCCTAAACAGGAGAAGTAGATGGCTGTGGAGAATTTTGGAAAAGTGATGACTTCTCATGAAAGCAGCATATGACAAAAGCTTGACATCCAGACTTGAATTTTCCTCTACTTTGAGGTTGATCATATTTGGGTCTTCTGTTTCTCTGCAGTGCTCTAGAATCTGAGCTGCAGCTCTTTGTTTTTGGCCACCATTGTAGCTTGCAATGGGTTGTGGCAGTTGTGCTCCATTCTTCATTTATGTGAGGCAGAAAAAAATCCTGCTGCTTCTGTTCCTATTGTTTTATTACTAGCAAAGTAACTCTGGAGTTAACTGCTCAGATGTGTCTGAATAGTATTGAAGATTCCTTATTGAATGTTACTTATCTGGGTGGTTTTGACATCTTTTTCATAGCTTATAGGTAAACAGCTTGTGTTGTGCAGTTGTGTGCCCAAAAGGGGACATCGTATGAATTTTGATTTGCTCCCTAGCAGTACTAGTGGCAAAGCCGTAAGTAGAGCTGTGGTTAGATCTATCTCGGGCTCCTTATACATTTCTCTCAAATGACTTTGTGTCTAATTCTGCTGGAGCCTTGGGGAACTTACCAAATGCATGTCATAGATGAGGAGTTGACTTACTGCTAGTTGGTAACTAAGAATAAAGACAGTATTTAGATGAGAAGCAAGATTCAGACCTGGATGAAATTCATGATGCTTGAAGGAACAAGAGGAAGGCAAGAGTGGTTGTAAGAAATGAGACTACTTGAAGGTTACCCTGTAGATTCCTTAGGTCGGAAGCTGTTTGTATGATTTCTTAATGGCTGATCAAAAAGCTAAACCTATGCACTTCTTGATTAAATGCTCCACTGAAAATCTTTGACTGGAAACATAGCAGTCCTGACACTTTTCCAGGTCAAGATAGACTTTGTGTCTAACCATAAGGCAAAACCTTAGAGGAGTAGTGGAGGTCAAGACAATCGTTTGAAATTTAGGAGCTTGCTCACCTGAATTGTTCCCTTGAAACACTTGAAGATTTGAGCCCTTGAAGTGCTCCCATGAGTTTATTACTCAGAATGCAACAACTCTGGAGGAGGAGAAGGGAGACGAGCCTAGAACAGCCCATATTTCAGGTGAGGATCCTTGCAATATGGGGGTTATCAGAGTTGGGATTTGAAGTTGAATCTTGTAAACTCAAATGAGAGTGGTGTTTTTCTTTTTTTCCGCTCCTCTGAAGTTTGAGTTGTGAGATATGAAGAGTTAATAAACATTCTTAGATGTCAGTTACCTATGAATCATTTAATTTCCTAGTCATTTTTAGATGTCTGGGCATCTACATTCACCAACTCCCAAAAGATTCACAAAGGCAGGAAAACATAATTTTCCCCATTTTACTGCTAGGGAAGGCAATACGTGGAAAGGAGTGAAGCAATTTTATTAAAGGTTGCAAATGAGTCAGTGACAGACCTCTGGTTAGAACTTGCCTGTTCCTTTCAGCCTTGCCTTTTCGGCTCCTTGGGCACTGTTAAATGTGCTTGCATTTAGGAAGAAACAGACACAGGCTGTTGGGAGGAAGAGATAGAATCCCTTGTAGGGATGCAAGGATGGGAAAAGGGTACGACTGAAGTGGGGACTAGATATCTCAAATTAGCCAGTTAGGATGTAGCCTGGAAGGCTTTGGATAAATTAATGTCTAATCAGTTGTAGCATTAAGGCGAGATGCATTTTTTTTTTCCAGTTCCATTTTTTTTCCAATTGGCCTAATAGAGAGTAAAGAGCTTATAGCTACTTGCATGGAGTTGTCTGGGCTTCACCTAAAATCTGAATGATTGGTCCACGTCCACACCACTAGGCTCCATCTTCACACCGTGGTTGAACAAAATGACTTATGTTACAGAAGTCACAGTACTTTACTCCTGTTTGCTATAGTAACTCTTTTTTTTCTTCCTTATCTAATAGTTCATAGGTTTCAAGTTTTTGTAGCACCTGGCACTAAACTGGAGAGCGGGCCTGCTACCCTGCACTTCTGCAATGACATATTTGTCCTTGTAAAAGACCTTCCTCCTAGTGTCATGGGGCAGTGGAAGCTCTCAGATCTGCGTCGATATGGAGCTGTCCCAAATGGATTCATCTTTGAAGGGGGTACCAGGTGTGGCTTCTGTAAGTACAGTTGGAAACTACCTTCTAAAAGTTATTTTAAACCTTTTGTAGAAATATACATGCTAGTTTTGTCAATGTTGAATTCTGAGAAATAACTATGGAGCTTTCAGTCAGACAAGCAGCCTTGTGTTATCAGAGAGTATGTTCTACGAGTAGATTTCTGTAGGCTTCAATGCTGGTGTTCAATAAAAATGTGATTGTGTGAAATCCTGACTGAACGTTGCCACATAGCTCTCCAGAAGACGTTTAGTCAGCTGTTGCTACTGGACACAGAACAAGAAAGAGGTAACGAAATTTTATGGCCTGTGTCATGCAAGACAAATGTAAAGCAAAATGTTTTAATGTCCTGATAATGAAATTATGGTTAATTCTGCTGCTGTTTACAGAGGGAGAATTATACAGAGGCTTTGAGGTTACAGGCAGAATCAAGGCTCTCGTGTTAACGCTAATGTCTAAATCCAGTAGAGGACTTAAGTTACCAGCTTCTAGGAGGCTGCTGCTGCTTCCCTTCCCCATTAGCGTCTTTGCCACTCTACGGAAACGTAAGGTTCATGGGATCAAAAGGAAAGAAAGCAAGCTGAAGCATGCTTCTGTAGCCTAGTAGCTAAGACACCCCTTTAGATGGGGAGAAACCTCTGGTTCTAATATCTTGTTTTAGGACTTTTTACCTCCTCACTTGAGGAAGATGCAAAGCATCTATGCGGAAGCTGTGAAAGAAAGGAGAGCGTTAATGCAGCTGGTCATAATATCATATACATCAGCAAATTTTTTGATTTGGAAAAGTCTTTTTGAAGTATCTTGAATCACTAAGGTGCATAATAACTAAGTGGTCCTACTGTTCTGGTTTATAGAATAGAATAGTTGATGGAGTGATTAATTTGATACTTGCCTAAATTTTAGAATAATACCCACTGAGATTTCAGCCTCAAAGAGTTTGGAGCCACTCCATATGATGATCTGTGATCGCAGATGGATATGCGTATCACCAGTTCAGATGTGAAGCTGTTTGACTTGTGTATTGGAATGTGAAAATAATTGATTTCTTCAATTGCCAATCTAAAAAATAAAAGGATTCTAAGCTGATCCAAATCCAAAGATTATTATTCCTCAGAACTCCTAGCCCAATTTGGGGAGGAAGGGGAAATACATTATTTTGACTGTTTTCCTATAGTGAGAGCTTTTGATTCCGTTTGTCTGTTGAAAAAGGACAGACCTGACTTACAAAGATGGCACATATGGACTATACTGTTTTACTGTGAAATTCCCAATTTAGGGCATTTGTAATGTGAAAGATTCTGGTTCAGATCTTTCTGTGGCTGATTTAGAGACTGTGTTTCGATAGTGATCTGTAGCCTTTGAAGGAATGGGTTATAGGTGTAGCCTGGAAGGAGACAAATCTGTTTTCTTTTAAGGTTATTCTGTTTCACTTAAATATTAAGCGGTGCAGGATCTGGAATCCAAGTGTTTTATTTCCTGGTGGTGTGGTCTAGACCTTGAATTAACTGAATAATTATAGCATTTAAGGGGAAGTCAGAAGTCACCTCCCCCCCGCCCCCCGGTGGATCGTGCAATTGGCCCAGTCTAAACTTGTGTAGGTCCATCAACACCTGCAGAATTGGTTTGAATAGGTTATTTTCCATGCAGAATAAAGCAGTTGTTCACTTCTGCCACTGTTTGCAAAAACCCCTTTAAGTGCAAACTAGACCTCTGTTGGTTTTAAGTTTGTGCACTTTTGTGCAGATGTAATTTGGATCCAAAACCTACCCCAGAAAATCTGCATTCTGAATAAATGCCTCTGGAAAAGTGAGGGTTGTTTTTTTTTGTTGTTTTTTCCTGTAAGCATTCTAGAGTTGAATCATGTTTTGTTTGTTTCTTTCCCAAAAACTGCTGCTGTTTCTGGGCAGTTTTTGTACTGTATCAATTTTTGAGCTAATGAAATCTAGGATTATTTAAATATTTAGAACTTATATTTAAAAAAGTATAGTGAACTGAAATGGAAATGTTAGCTGCCTTTACGTTTAGCAGTGGTTAGATTGATAACTGTTTTAGTCTGTGTAAACATCTAATTCATCAAATAAGAGAATATACAACTTAACTATTTGGTTAGTCTTCCTGAGGCTGCCTAGGGAAGCAGAACATCTGTGTGTTTTTTCTATTTTATTTTTTGTTGGGTAAAAGGTACAACAGCCCTGTGATATGTTGGCATCAGTTTTTCCTATGACTCTTCAAGCAGGTGCCTCCAGGGAAGAGCTTATCTTCTTACCACTAAGGGCTTTAAATAATGACTTGAATTTGGACGACATAGCTGATTGCAAATGGAGTGTCTGTGGATCACAGGCATTTGTTTTATGCAGACTTCCATTGGAATATGGAAGGAGACGACACATTATTTTGAGCGATAGCCGAAAAGGAAAATGACTAGTAGAAAATAATGATGGCTGTTAAGACTTTGTTCCTCTGAAAAAGGAAACAATTGGGTCTTTCTCTCTCATGCCTTTTCCAGAGGGACTGTTCAGCACTGTCTAACAAAGCGTTTGCAACACGCCAAATAGCCCACTTCTTATGTGTGTTACTCTCTCTGGGAGGGACACTGTGATTGGGTGTGCAGAGGAGATATTTAGGACTACTTAGTGTATATGGCCTTTATGAAAAGGGGATGAATGGATATGTTTCCAATTTCAGCTTACTTTTATCCTTTCAAGAATGAAAGGGATAATTGCAGGTCAAAATGAAATGCACTGAGTTGTTTATCACCCTTTGTATGTGGAAGGATCTTTCTTTAGTGGCTGCCTCAACCAAGGCATTTGGAAAATGCAGGATTCACTGGTAGAGCCGAGTACTTTGCAGGCTCGTTTGTGATGTCTGTCTTACAACTAGCCAGCAATTTTCTACTGTGGTGTTTACTGCTGTACTCAAACCACCTCGGTGTGTGTAACGCGGATGCCAGGAGATACACAGGGTGAGGCTGGGTTTCGAAGCCCAGTGCCATCAGGAATGAAGGATGAGTAAAGAAGTCTCTCTGGTGTTTAATGCAAGATTTTTTTTCCCAGAAAGATTCCTAGAGGAGGTAGAGACCACTGATATTTCTCTAATAACCTGTGTAGCTTTGAGTCGTGCGAATTAGCAGAGGAGAAGGTCTACAGGTAAGCTGCAGCAAATTCTGAGCCAGTCTCCTCCCTGCTGGATTATTGTCTGCTTACAAGTGTCTCCACAGCAGTTTCCTAGGAAGCCCTGTAGAGCCTTGCAATGTATGTTCCTTAGTTGTATGACTTTACCCAAACCTTTTGTTCTTCCATTACATATTTGCTGTGTGAAGATTGCCTGTGTCCGGAAACCTGAGTATAGCTCCTACATAGTCACTCATTTGAGGTGACCTAACTGCTGATCATTCATCAACAAGGCACTTGGATATAATGGTAGAGAGCGAAGGTGCATTTCCATAAGATCTAACTAGCATAGTTGGTCCTCAGTTACTGTGTTTAAGCAAACATTCCATCTGTTCTCTTCTTTATCTGTTCTCTTCCTTTGATTTCATAATGAAATGGATCTGTGCTGTTGACTATGTACTGTTTATTCATGATCTGTATTTATGATTGGAATGAAATACAATACTCGTGCTTATCACCCTGCAGTTCTATGTTATGTTGTTAATGACTTTCCTGAATAAAATCAAACCAGTAACATGAATTGTTTTTATGTTATATCAAAAATGTTCAATAGTTTGCATGTGAATATGGACCACCTCAGCCTGTGCATTTCATGTTGAGTACAGTGTTTAGGGAATAACAATTTCGATCTTTTTGTTTGTATTGCATTTGGGTAGTGAATGCTAACACACATTGCAACATTACTAATATATTAGGAACTCATTTACTTTTAATTAATCTGAAAGAATTATTATTCTTTGATAGGTAGTGAATGCTAACACACGTTGCAACATTACTAATATATTAGAAACTCATTTACTTTTAATTAAATCTGAAAGAATTATTATTCTTTGATACAAAAAATATTGCCAATTCACAAAATATTGCCAATTCACAATAATGATTGGATTTTGAAAGCTAGCAAGTAAATGAACAAAAAAATTCATTTAAAACAACTTTTTCTGTCAATTTTTGCATGGTTGTATGGTAATACAAATGAACGCAGCAACTTATTTTGAAAGATTAGTGGTGCTTTAGTATAGGGAATTTGCTATAGCAGCTCTTTTGTGTTAAAGTATTGATGAATGCTGTCTGTTATGCAGCACTGTAGAATGCTAATTACTGAACATCTATGGTACAGTAAGTAGATAATGTTTTAGAATGAGATTAGAGAGGAACTTCCAGTTTGGATGTCACAATCTAAAAATCACAGAATCATTGAGGTTGGAAGGGACCTCTGGAGACTGTTTAGTCCAACCCTCCTGCTCAGGCAGTGTCAACTAGAGCAGATTGCCCAGGGCTGTGTCAAATTAGGCTTGAATATCTCCACAAGCTCTCTGTGCAACCAGTGTTAGACCACTCTCACAGTAGAAGAGGTTTCTTATGTTTAAGTGAAATTTCTTGTATTTCAACTTATTCTCATTGCCTCGTGTCTTCTCCTGGACGCAACTAAGAAGAATCTGGCTCAGTCGTCTTTGCTCCCTCCTGTCATGTATTTATATACATTGATAAGATTCCCTCCTGCGCCTTTTTCTTTCCCGTGCTGAACAATCCCCGCTCTCCCAGCTGATCCAAGTCCTTAATCAACTTTGTGGCCCTTTGCTGGGCTTGCTGCAGTATGTTCATGTCTGTCTTGTACTGGGGGGCCAGAACTGGACACAGTGCTCCAGGTGTGCTACGTAGTGCTGAGGTAGAGGGGAAGGACCACCTCCCTTGATCTGCTGGCAATGCTGCTTTTAATGTAGCCTGGGATGCTGTTGGGGCCTCCTTTGCTGCAAGGAAGCACTGCTGGTTTGTGTTCAATTTGTTACCCACCAGGACCCCCAAGTTCATTTTTTGCAAAGTTGCTTTCCG